GTCGGGCGCACATCGGCACTACGTAATGAGAAGCGCGAGCCGGTTCATAGCCGCCAAATGCGGCATGCTTTTGTGTTCTTTTAGCCTGTTTATTCCAAGAACGTTTAATTTCTCATACAACTCATTTTTTAATCATCAAAACCATGTCTCTACTTGTGTACTGCGCCATTATTTTGAGTTTATTTCGACTGCGACACGGCGCTATCGCCGCATCAACACGCCAAATGTGCCGCGAAAAAACACCGCATGGAATGATGGGATACTGCTACCCACGCCGCGTCCGCCATCTTTGTTTACTTCCCTGAACGCTAATGCGAGAGATCCCCGTCAACTATCGCAAATTTCCATGTAACCTACGGACATCGTGAGCTAAAAAGTCATTAACATTGAAATGAACAGTTTATTGTTGCATTAGTTACGATAATTTTCGTGTGCTAGCCGGAGTTTCTGAAAATTAAGCGATCGAAGCGATCCTTTGTGCTATCGACTGCTTTCATGACGATCGTCTGCATTTTTGTCTGTACGCTACTTGATTGAACTTTATTTTTTGCTACTTTCGTGATGTAAAAGTACGTACAGGCTGATGATTGTGCATGTATTCGTTGCTTGTTTTGTACGTAGCAAACGTAGCATTGTTTATTCGTTCGAGTAGAGCCTGCCGATAGCACATGATGTCTAACGTATCGCGGCGTTCTTCCAGTCGTGGAAAAAACGAAAAAAATACATGTGTACGTCAACGAAAAAAATTAAAAGCAAATTTACCGATCTCAATAAAGTTCACTGTTTTTAATGCGTAAATGTGACTCGTGTTTGTATTCTTTGTGTCGTTATGTGTTCGATGCCCTGTCCACCCCCCACCCCCATAGTTTCAATGAAGGCCGAGAGTTTGAGCCTCAGAGTCTCTTAATCGGAAAGGCCGGGTATTTGAAAAAAATGTGCTGACAAATTGGCTTTTCAAATAAGCGGCTTCTACTGTATTATGAATGCAAAAAAGATAGGCACATTTTACATCTTAGTGAGGAATGGAAGGGTCAGTATTCATGGAAAAAGGCAAAAAGTTCAGTGCCAAATTTGGCAGCACATTTTGAACTTGCTGCAATTTCTCACCTGTGTGCTGTCAGAGACTAACAGTGTGTGGATGGTCTCCAGGGAAGCTTTCCTGACAGAGGGGATGGTGTGGTGCAGGAACGGCCAGAGACGGGGAACCAACGTCGTCAACACAGAACCACAACTGACGAGGAAAAAAAAACATATTTTCAGAAAATAAATCGAAAGTACTTAGAACAAAAACTCACACACACACAGTCACTCATTCACACAATACACAAATCAAATGTACTGAAGCAAATTTTAAGGTTTGAATACTTCAGGCAGGTTCAAGGCAGATTGTTTGCTCCACCTGAGACCAGGAGGGGGATCTTAGCCCAGCCAGGTCGCGCACAGGAGCAGGTGATGTAGGTGCTGGGCCACACAGGGCACAAACAACAGCACTGTGCCCCAGGACGGGCCACAGCAACAGCAATCTCTGAACTTCAAAACTAGAAAATTGATTCATTTAAGAAAAACTTGGCTGCTGTGTGCTGTCAGGTTTACCTTCCTTCCTTTGGAAATACAAAATATTGTCTACCAGATACCTTTGACCCAGTGTTGACGTCACACTTCAAAGGTCTATCAGGTCCTGTGATTCCATTTCAGGATAGGACAGCATCTGGTTAAGTGACAACTCGTATATTACAGCTTACCTGGTCTGTGCTGTCACCCCAGGGTAGGTCAGCAGGGAGGCAAGTAACAGCATGATGCTGTTTGTGGAGGCTGTCAGGTCATCCAACTCCAACAGGGCATCCCACAGGATCTTCACAATACTGGGAACCTTGTACAGATGCAAGACATCATTTTATCTTTTTACTCCAAAATTGATAAAGAAAAAACTATTGCTAGTAAGAATTTCTTGTGTTTGCAAGTTAATTTACAAGGTTGACTTACATGTGTTGTATATTGGTGACGGAACACACTCAGTCTGGAGGACTATCCAGATCACATCTTTTCGAAAAAATAACAAACTTAAAAGCTCTGCCGCTGAAGAGTTGCCAAAAAGCCCATACCTGCTGCGGGAGTATTTTGACCAGAGAGTCGACCACGGGGACAATACTGGCTGCTGCCACGGCAACCACATCATCAACACTGTCCTGGAGACCCTGAACGATCGCAGGCACGATGGTGGGAAGAGCGGCCTCTACTAGTTCCTGTAGATATCAATCAATCAATCACATGGGATAAGGAGGCCTGGGAATAAGCCCCTCACCTATGTGGATGTGCTGGAAAAAGAAACTGGTCTACAAACTGATGGTGTGGGAAATGTATTGCATGTCAGTAGCTTGATATTTAATTCTGGGCTGCCAATGCGGTTCAAGTGGCAGAGAAGAGCTACCGCTTGTCATAAATCAAGTAAACAACAGAGACTGTATTTTAGTCAAGACATCAAGAATTCTCATAATATCTCACCTTTCTGACTGCCAGCAGATACTTGAGCCCCAGGAGCCCCCCATGCCGAACCTCCCACTGGGGCTGCTCCAGCAGCTGCATCAGGATCCCCAGAACCCCCTTCACACCCTCAGAGGTCATGTGATGCAGCACGGCCCCCAGAGTTTGGGCACAGGTTTCCCTCACGGGGGCAACAACCTGGGGACATACATTGATCTTGTAACTTTTAGAACATTTTACAGCAACTAAATTCAAAGACCATGGCAAGAAATTTTTCCATTTTTTTGTGTTCACAACTACAGTTCAACTTTGCTTCAGGATGTACCAACTCAGCCGAAGGTTCAAACTGTTTTCTCACCTCGTCTGACACAAAATCTCCGAACCTGTCCAGAGAGAAGACACAGAGCAGCCTCAGGGCCACGTCTTCCAACCACTGCTGATTACTGCTGTCCAGCTGGGAGACAAACAAACACAAATGTTAACATTTTGAGATCAAGTGTATCAAGATTTTTTTGGAAAATTATCATTAAATTTGTTAATTTGTGCCTCACCTGGTCAGCAGGTGTGTCTGCTGTCCTCCCCGCACCCTTCCCATGAGTCTTCACAATCTCCCTGAGTCCTGTTCCTGCCCCGTGTCTCACCTGAAGGAGACACACAGGTGAGAAAAAAACGCTTGTTAGTACATCTTGATCAGATAGCTTTTATATGTATATCTTCGAAACAACATTTTTTATCACAGATATTACACCTACTAGGTTAGTAACACTGACCATCTCCATGTTTAAAGTACCTCAGGGCTTCCCACAGACAATATGACCATCTCACCTCCCAACTGGGGCTGAACAAGTCATTGAGCAGCACCTCGCAGAAGGACTCGAAGGGCCAGTCTTCTGACTGGGGAACAAAAGTAGTAAGGAAAATAAGTGACTGGACTGTGAACCTCTAATGTACAAAAAGGACAGTGTCTGGGCGGTAATACACATGTCATACAATAGTTAAATACCATCTGATATTTTGTGGTCCTTTGGCCATGACAAATTGTTGACAAGCTGCTCTTTCCTTTACAAATAAAAAGCAAACAAACAAACAAACAGATATGTTTCCTGACCTCCTCAAACATGACGCTGCTGTCCAGTACTTGGTCCATGACGACCCTGTCTGCGTCTGCTGGCTGGTCCACCAGCACGGCCGTGGTTCTCTTCCGCTTGGGATCAGGCTCGTCCCCCTGGCTGTGTGAGTTGGAACTGCAGCAGACAACATTCACAAGGAGAGTCTTAAACTTAAAGAGTGGGACCCTTCATTGAGGTACTACCATTCTCTGATGGCGTTAACAATAACTGTTTACAGTTTAAAATTAAAATTTAAAATTTGCTATCTTTCTGCAAAAAAGAGGCCTGATGACATGCACTTTTCAAGAACTTCAAGACTACATTGCAACATTTCGTATTTTACAACACAGACTAGGGTTACCTGAGGTCAGGTACACCCTCTTGGATGTCCTTTGACCTCTGCTTGGCGAGGGACTTGGCTTTCCTCTTGGCGCGGTTTTTCTCCCGTGCGCTCATGCCAGGTTTCACCACCGCCATCTCATGTGCTACTGCATCAGCTGCAGACATCTGTGGGGAGTAAATACAACATATAAAAAAAAGGGTCAGACAAATAATAAATCATTATTTGTAGTACTTTTCTTTAGGCATTTTCTTCTAGTTATTCTATTTACATGGTGCACCCAAAAATTTATCTGTACACCCAATTTTTTAGTTTGGGTGCACCTAAGTGCACCTATTCCCAAAAATGAATTTCGAGCCCTGTACAAGTCCTGCCCACCTGTGTTTGATGTTGTTTCTGTACATGACTGTTGAGTTCCGGCCTCATCACCAGGTCCTCGTCCTGGAAGAACTGCTGAGTGTCCACACCCACCGCGCCCGCCACGTCCAGACCCAGCCGCTTGTGGATCTGCTTCTTCTGATAGGCCAGGCGCTCCTTAGGATCCATGGCTAAACGGGAAGAGGAGGGTTATTGTCTTAAGATAAAGACCACACCAACCAAGTCATTTCTTTGCTTCTGGAAATTTAGTAAGAGTTTTAGATGAAAATAGAGAACTTCATCTGATTTTCTAGTACAGAGGTATCTGAATTTTTCTAATGACTTCTTGAAATCAACAGGTAAAATATATTAATGTAGTTTGGCAGGCTTCACTTTATCTATATAGCATGAAGGTTATAAAAAACCTAATAGAAAACATGCCCTTACCTGCAAGTTCATTTTCGTCCAAGTCAAACTCAGTGCCTGCAGACCCCAGCAGTGCAGACCCCTTCTGTAGCACTCGTGTGATGTCGAACTTGGTGAACTCCAGCTTGTCACTACGGTCCCTCACAGGTGTGGACCTGCCTTCTGCTGGGTCTGGTAACACAACGTTAGAAAAAAATGTTTAAATCAGTTCAGCTTAGCATTTTAACTCAGCTTGGACTTATTAAAGTTAAGGTCCATCCAAAGAGAACATGTTTCAGGTAGCATCCACTATCTTTCATCATGACATCAGTGACTGGATGCTATCTGAAATATCTTCAAGTTGACTTTTAATTGCAGGGCTTGTCCCTTTTCTCTACACTACCTTCTTCCTTCTTGAGCACCCCTCTTGGTTCCCACAGTGGTACGTTCCTGGCGATAGCCTCAATGGCCTGCCCCGCGGCGATCCTGGTGTCCCAGTTGTCGCTGCGCAGGAAGGTCAGTACCTGGGAGGGAGAAGAGGAAAATCAGGGTTCCATCCAGCACTCGTCATTCTGTAACTAATGATGTATTACAGTTTACACCATCTTTGTCAGTTCAGTATAAGCTACACGAGACCAACTTGTGATGTAAGGTTTGATCCATCCACACCAGAAATACAAATGTAATGTATAATCTTATCCATGAGTGTGGTGGGATCTTTCACACGTTCAAGGTTAGCGTTTGGTGTTGCTCTACTTAGGCTCAAACAAGGGACCTCCAGCTTTAAGGTTCCTGCATGTATCTAAATTAAAGGACATATTAAAAGGCATTGAGATCTCAGGAAAGAAGTAACTAATGTTACTGTATAGATACATTTGTAAGTCCCTACCTTAGCCAGCAGGTTGTGCAGCTCGTGAGGGTGCAGCTTCTGCACCTGTCCAATCTGCAGCGCTGCAGATTTCCTGATGACGGGAGTCGAACCCGTGTCCAGCAGTGTGAACAGTCGGTCCAGTCTGAACAGAACAGGCTTCATTTAGTATAGCTTCATCACACTTATAGCACACTGATAGATGATGAGTTAGTATTACTTAAATCTCCTATAATGTCCTAATTCTCTGCCTTTACATAGTCAAGTCAACATATCAGATCAATGTTTTAACAACTCCTTGTAATATCTTTTAATCAAATTAATGCAACTAGTTTTAGACATACAAGTGTTCAACTCCAATTGAGGCAAGACTTCAGAAATTTTATAGTAATTAATGCAATAGACCTTGTTCATGACATTGAAAACCCAGGTGTCAGGGACCTCTGCTAAGCTGCACCTCACATTATGAATCATTAATGCTTGTAAGTTTTTGTTTATTTTATTTATTTATTTACATATAGTACATTCTAAAACCACATTGTAATCAACAAATATAGTGGATTGAATTTCGTGATCTTAAGCTCCATGTTTTTCTTTTATTCACACCTAAATATTAATTTAGTGGAGGAATTAGTTACTAAAATGCAGGCACATTTGTTTTTTCTCCGAATGAATTGGTTGAACCTAGCTAAACACGACTAAATAAAATGTTTGCCGACATTATGAATATCGTGATCTCTAGAATTATTATGTTGAATTTTGTTTGTTTATTTATTTATTTGTTTATTTACAAAAGTCACAGGAAGCAAATTGTACATCACCTGGTAGCCATGACGACAACGTTACCCCTCAGCGACCGAATAAGCCTTTATAATCCGTTTCCTTGGCACCGCGGATTAGATCGGATCAGACCAGATCAGAGATCAAGGAAACAACACCACAAAATCTCAGCTGAAACATTTGCAGCAGACGAATTTCTCCACAAAATGGACCTTCCTTCGCTCCTAGTCCGCCATCCATCCACACACGCCGGGTTTTTACCAATCTAAACCGGCCGAGAGGCTCGCCTACCCACCCATGCTCCGCTTTAGACCCTCACCAGGAAGGCATCAATGCGGAAAAAAGAAAGTTTGGTGGCACTTTGTATTTATACCAGACGCCATTTTGGGCACCCACCCAGCTACTAAAGAACACTCATCATGATTGGCTGATATCGTGATTATTCACTCTTTTGAACCAATCGAGTAAAGTTTTATATATTTGATTGTCTGGCGGGAATATACTCGAAACAGAGGGGAGTATTTGCCATGAAATTATGATGGATAAAAATTAATTCCATCAAATAAAAAGTGTGTTTGTGGAGGAGAGAAAATTGTAAACTTCTGCAGACTGGGCGAAATCATATAAAAAGGGATCATGTCCCGACGTGCACTGCGGGAGGAATCCAAAATGGCGCTGAAAAATTCGCGAGGAGGCGGACGGCGTGGGAAGAACAAGAAAACTAAGGTCTCTCTCGTGTTCGACGAGGATGCGAGAAGGTCAGTTTCTAGTTGAAAGGTTAGATAAACTATTGTAGGCTCATATACGAAAGTTTTGTGAGGATTGGACCTTTCTTTGTTGTGCTGTCGGGGTAAACATTTGAGAGAGAACATGCATAATTGGGCCGTTCAAAAAAATAACTGAGGAGGGGGGGTGGAAGAGGTCGGATTTTACCTAAGGGGGATAGTGGGTGTGGATTTTGGATTGAGAGGGGTTCACCCTGGATTTGGATGAAATTATAGGGGGTCAAGTCGTTTGGATAACATTTTTAAGGGGTCAAGACACCTGGATATGGATGAAATGAAAGGGGGTCAAGGTACTCGGATAGTAATGAAAGGGGGGTCAGAAAATAGAAAATCCAAGCTCTTCCACCCCCCCTCCACATTTATTTTTTGGAACAGCCCATTATACATGGATCTCCAAGCAGAGGTTAGGGTGGTTTAGGACATTTTTTAGAGGCTTTTTTATGCGTTTTGACGGGCTTTCTATTTGTCAGATTCTCTTTTGATGTACAGGCCATTAACAAAATTTTATTCTGACCACCTGTAAAAAATGATGATGTACACATCACAGAATGCTTTAATTTTTTAAACTTTCATCTGTGTTGCTTTCAGAGAGTACCTGACTGGATTCAAAAAGAGGAAGGACGCTCGGAGAAAAAAGGCAAAAGAGGAGTTTGACAATAGGATGAAAAATGAATTGAAAAGGATAAAGGCAAAGGTAAATTAAAAAATGAGATTATTTTATAGACTAACATTAACTTTCCCAGTTTGTCGCACTTGGGTAAGAATGTTGTAATTATGACTTTTAAAAGTTTTAAAAAGTTATTGCAGATAGTAGGTAAAAAGAACATGGTTATGCATGCTGACATCATTTTGCTTTATTTGTATCTTGCAGAAGAAGCAATGGTTGGAGGAAAGGATGGTTCAGGTCCCCAAACTACCAGGTAGAGTATCCAACTCGATGCAAGCTCTTTTAATTACATTGTTCTGTATAATTGAAGAAAATGTGGTGCTACATACATGCTAAGATGACAACACATTTACTCACTCACTCAGACATTCACCCACACTCTCAATCGCTCACTCACTACTAGTCACTAGCTCACTCACTCATATCTTTTTGTTGAGCACAATGCCACATACATTATGTTTGATGGTGGATGTACTGAATTTCAGATTTAGATGACTTGGAGACTGAACAGAAGGTGATAGAACATCCAGGCCACACTGTTACTGTGACTACAATAGCAGACTTGGACTTGGCTGACCAAGGAGGGCTCAGCCTGGGAACCAACAAGGTATCTTATTGTTCTTCCCCATCCATCCTCAACTGTGTGAATGAATGGTTTCTGCAGTATGCTCAAATAGGAGATGTTTGCTTGTGGTCAGTCATGTAAGCCTTTCACTGAAAATTTTGTTTCAAACACAAAGCCCACTTCGTACACATTTGAAGTTCTTGGCACCCTTTGGAAAAGGTTAAGAAGATGGAGAAAAAATTCTGCAAGCCAGTACTTGTGTAAATGTATCCAAAAGACAATTAACTAAGTTTCTTCATGTCTACAATTAAATGTCAAACAAATAGTTGTCCAGAACAACATGCATTTTCTATCTGCAGATTCCATACAGTATGTTAACAGACACATTGCACTATGTAGAAATCATTCTTCTGTTTCAGAAGGAAGACTGTTGTAATGTTACTTCTGCTTCAGTTTCCATTTCAAAAAGCTGCTTTTTGTCTCTAACAAGATGAATGTTTTAACCGTTTCAGATTGATTATGCAGAAGACACTGCGGTCAAATCTCCTGTGAACAGTAGCAATTCTGACGTGTCTGAGGAAGAAAAGGACCAAGAACAGTCACCTTCAGAACAAAGAACTGGGAAGAACCCCAAGAAATGGAAATTCAAAGCACCAGTCATGTCTGGCAGTAAGAAACACCTAAAGAAAAGACCACATCATAAGATTGATGCCAGGAGCAAGGCCAAGTTCAAACACAAAAAGGGTGGGAAGCTTTCCAAGAAGCAGAGGAGAAAATCTGCCAAAGGACAGACAAGGGACTGACATGTGTTAAACTTTACTTAATGGGGACCAATCTTCTAGGCTGTTGCTTTGAATAAAGAGATTTATACACGAGTCAGTGTGTTGCTTTTTTCTGTGTCAATTGTTAGCATACAAAGGAAATTATAGCCTAGTATCCAGCTAGTGTGCAAGTTTCTGTCCACTTTGATCAGTGGGACCAAAAGGAGTTAACACTTCTCGTGTCCAGTCTTACCCAATGGTCACTTTGCATTTGGCACGGCCTAGGGGCCTAGCCTGGGTATCATCTGTGATTGACTGTGACCACTAAACCTGCTCCGTTGTATAGCAGAGGTAGAACAGTGGAACCCAGGCTAAGCCCCTACCAAATTTTTTTACCTTTTCCCTCCAAATCATTCACTAAGAATAAATCCTCCCTTTCTATTTCATCTGTGCAAATTGGAGAAATTGTGAGGAAAGATAAAAATTAATCTACCTTAGTATACACTTAGTATGACTGCAAATGCTTCTTCATACAATTTCAATTGTGCTGGCAAGGGCTACCCATTTGATTGCCATTTCTGTGCAAGTTTCTCCTTCCTTCAATTATTATTTACAACATGGGATTTAAGAATGTAGGAGTAATGTGTCGAAATGTAAGCCTTATCCTCCACATGACGGGATATTAGTAGTGCCCTTCTATACTACTCGAAGCTGTTTACGTCATCGTTCGGTAAACTTCGTGTACTTCCGGACGCTGTTCCAAGCTCCTCCCTCCGGACGTGTGTCATTTGAGAAGCCGCCATTTTGGTTGGCTAGTTGTACACGTTTTCGGTGGAAAAATCCCTTCGATCTCGCTTTGTGAATACAATATTTGCTCGATCTCGGCAGGTAAGGTGCGTGAGGATATAAGGAATATATTTTATGTATAACAAGGCTTTGTTTTGTAGGGAAAGTGGTAATTTTGGGAGTTGTTTTAGGGCGATTCGAAGCTTCCTTTCGCATGGCTGTCAAATCAGTGGGCGACGGTGACCCGCCCTTACGCAGTATTTATCCCATGCGTGGCGTATTTACTAATGCCTCTAATTCCTTCTCGACGTCTCATTACGTTGTTTTAACATCCACATCAACCGGAGGTGTCGCTATTATTAGCGCGGCGCGTTCAGAAACGGAACGACGCGAGAGAAACCCTACGGCGAGAAATTTCCGGGCCGGGGCTTCCGCCTAAAATCGTTGACCTACGAATTATTATGATGGAAAGGTCCTGAACCAGCACACACACCGTGCCAGGCTATCCTTGGTACGGAGACCTACTCGACATTCCAGCTCTTTCCACGAACTTTGGCACCCTTCCATGTTCTGTAGTCTATTCATTACGTCGATGTTATGTCTCTTTCTTTTTTCGGAAGGCATCAAACTGCGTTAGTAAGCACGTCGCCCCCCTCCCCTAGGCGTTGTTGGAACCGGTGTCCTTCTGTGTTTGAACGGCCTTGGGTGGTGCAGTTTTCGTCCTTCTGGCTTTATGTGGAGCTTGAAATAAACACAAGCTTACATAGATAGTCTTTCATGTATGTCTCTTGCTTTGAGGCACGCAGATTTTACAACATACCTTTTGTTAGCCATAGCGAAACTCGGGTACCAAATTACATTTGTTGCGTAATGTGTTGTTACTCCGATTTTACGTTTTTAGTTGCGATCGCAGTGCTTTTCTCTATCCATAAAGGGCTATAACGTTTTAAAATGTTGATATATCTGGCGGCTGACAAAAAATATAGTCAGGAAATCTTAGGGAGAGTTTTCAAACTTCCTCTGACTGAAGAAACAGGAAATGGCATAATCGCTTCCTGGAAGTGACAGTCTTGAGTCCTATATCCATTTTACATGTAGGTGTTTTTCATGCATAACTTACTCATGTTTTGACAACCCTCTTGGTGTGTGTATTCCATGTTCCAGGTTATGGTGCTGTGAGTGTGGAGAAGAGAGACAGGTTCGGCTACACTGGTAGTTCTACCACTATATTACTATTGTTCTTCAAACAAAGACAGCAGGCTGCGGTCATTGTTCCAGCACTGAAGGCAGGTGGCTACGAGTTAACCAGCCAAGATGCCGGTGCGTCGATCGCTCAAGAACGTTGTACACAACTACACGGAGCCGCAGGTCAAGGTGCGCGAGGCGACCTCCAATGACCCCTGGGGGCCCTCCAGCTCCCTCATGACGGAGATCGCGGACTTGACCTACCACGTGGTGGCGTTCTCGGAGATCATGAGCATGATCTGGAAGCGGTTAAACGACCACGGGAAGAACTGGCGCCACGTGTACAAGTCGCTGGTCCTGCTGGATTACATCATCAAGACGGGTTCAGAGCGGGTCGCGCAGCAGTGCAAGGAGAACATCTTTGCCATACAGACTCTGAAGGACTTCCAGTTCATCGACAGGGACGGGAAGGACCAGGGCGTGAACGTGCGCGAGAAGTCGAAGCAGCTGGTGGCGCTGCTGAAGGACGATGAGAGGCTGAAACAGGAGCGGCAGCGGGCGCTGAAGGCCAAGGAGAGATTCGCGCAGGCGAACACGGGTATCGGAAGCAGCTCGCCACAGCTGTTCAGCGAGACACAAGAGGGGAAGGGGGCGTCAAGTTCTCCATACAGAGGTAAGGGTTATTTCAAAATGATAGAATTATTATATGGAACTAGTGATGCATACCTAAACCCAATTTTCGGTTCAGGTCCGGATTCAAGTCCAGAGGTTTAGGTTCAGGTCCGGACTTGTAAGTCCGGACCTAAACCCATGGCATATACAAAATTGCATGTTGGCAACCTTGCAATGTTGTCTGGGTGAAACTTTGGCCACATAACACGGAGGCCGGTACTTGACGATGATCGATGGCAATGTTTTCATCATTTTGCAGCAAAGATTTTGCAAGCTACGGAAGGTTTTAGGTGGTTTGGAAAGAAAAGTTAAATGGTCTTTTATGGTAATAAGTCCGGACTCGGTTCTTGACTTTTAGGTTTTTTTGGACTTGAACCTAAATATTTTTACAAGTCCGGATCCAAGTCCAGTGAACCGGTATGCATCACTATATGGAACTATATATTCATTATTCTTTAGGTATTACGTACATTTTAAGTTGCAACTAATTTATCTTGAAAAGTTGAGCTCGAACGGCTAATTTGAAATTTGTTGTCTGATATCGACATGAATGGTTTCACTTTGTTCCATTACTGATACTTTTAAATAAATGATATCAGGTTACCAATGTCAATGTGCAACTTCAAAATTGTAAGTTGTGTGACTCAGTAGAACTGCAGTCAATTTACACAGTCACTGGTACATGTAGTTACTAAGTAGGTCTTTGTTGTACAGCAGCAATCTTCTGTGCCCCATTTGTCAGTCATTAAACAGTCATCAATAGCTTGTAGGATCTTATGAGTGACAGGCTACATTAATTATGAATGACTCCAGCAAGACGTCCAAAAGAACAAGGGCTGGTTGGTCTTTCACAGGTAAACGTCAAAACCTGCCAGGTTGTGGATTAACTGGGGTTACAAATAGAGCAGCCATGACCTGTGTCTCTTTACTCTGCCCTTCAACAGCCCTGGCAGTCACTGTATGGTGGTGAATTTTCATGAGTATGTGAATAGTTGAGGAATTGAAAATTTCAGTATTTTTAGAACTAATAAGTCTGGCCTTGCAGAGCTTCGAACACAAAAATTTTCATTTTTGGTCTAACAGCACCCCAAGAATCCAAAAATTGTAGCACTTTGATGTCGGCAATTTTAAATGCAGTGTATTTTTAAAATGTTTCTTCAAATTTAGATTAGATATTATGATGAACAATGAATCTATGAATATCATACCATACTAGTAATATACAGGCATTTCTACACTGCAACATAGATAGTTAAATTGTGATTCAAACACACAAACAGAAGTTGCAATGTGTCTGTATTGTTTTTATACGCATGTACCTGCAATCAAGGACTCCTTGCTGCAGTCTAAGAATCTTATTTCTGCAAAATGTAAACTGTAGGTGAGTATTTGCAGCTCTGAACAGGTAAAAATAAAGCAGCATTTCCAGAAATAATTCGTCTCTCAAGGGTAGAGAAGAGCAAACTGGCAAGAATTAAGATAAGAATAGAAAGAACACAAATGAACACAGCATTGACAAATTAACAGTATACAGATATATTTAGGATCGCCCACTCAAACTCTTGCACAGACTTGCCCTTCTCCAGGGCGTTAATAATTGTCAACTCCTAATACATGTACGTTGTGTTGACGTCAGGGCAGAAATGAGTCTGCCTTTTATGACTCACTGTCATGTGGAGACAGGCTAAATATACACACAGTGTGGGAGGTTATCTCTTTTAAGTTATACAAATACCTCAGTACTTATTACTGTATAAAATATATATACATGTGTACTGAGTAATACAAAAGTATGGCACAGTGTGTGAAGGTTCCCACACCAAGTCTTGAAATACACACCTGAAATTTGTAATAAATTTGTATTAACATGTATTAACAATCATCGCATGCACACATTGATTTATACATACAGTACTTTTTAATAGTGTTGAATGAGCCTCTGGCTGTATATTGTTGGATTGAGCCTGTTGTGTAAACATGATTATAGACTTGAAGTTTCAGGTACTAGAATTACCAATGGGATACAATCACAGCTGTCCAACACTATTACATGACTGATTTATTGGGTTCAAGTGAATTAATTTGGTGAAGTGGCTTGTTCCAAGCTACTTAAGCTTCGATGACATCAGTGATTACATCATGGTTGGGCAGTAGGAAATCTATTTCTCGGTTGTTGTGAATTCATTTGTACATTCAAGCCCTCAACAATTAATTTGCTTGGTTAGGCCACATTAATTTATTTCCCATGTCCTTTTAGGACATTTGAAGGTGAAAATATTATAGCATGGGCACATCATGTCAGTGGGTTGAATATGACTATTCACACCATAAAACTGAATGTAGCTTGTCATAAAACCTTTTTGTATCAGTAGCTGTTGTTTGAAGTTTTGAAGTTAGATATAGCATTAGGGTTCCTTTATTCCATTTTTTAAATGTTATATTCCTGCAAAATTGTTGTCATGCATCATTTTATTTAGGTTAGGTGCATCAGTGCACCTATTGCTAAAAATGAATTTGGAAGTGTGTGTGTGTGCTGTTGCATGTAGCATGGGGCTTAGGTGAGGTGATGAGTACTGAGTCAGTTACAGGAATTAGGTGTCAGCACGGAGCCAGTGTTCTGATTCTGAGTACCAATCAACAAATTAATGCCTATCAAATGATGTGATCTGATGCGATGTCTCTCGGGGGTTTTGCCTGGTATGAGACGAGACACCAATTACTGTGAAAACAGTGTGAGACGCAGATGAAAATTGTCATGTAATAATTTGTAGCTGAGTGTGAAAATAAAAAAGGCAGTCAACATTATCATCTTAGTACTACCTCAACGTTGTCGTAATGTGCAATATGAAAAGTTTGAAAATAGGACGTTACACTATATTTGTATCTATATGTGAATGTATTATGTATGTGTGTAAGATAATTGTATAAGTTACCAGTAGCATGTTCTATAGGGCCTAAGAGTAAGACTTAAAAGACCCACTTGTACTTACTGGAAAAAATGTTGAGGATGAGATTGCAGAAAAGATACAGACAACTTACAAGAATATGCAAATGATGGCCATAAAATTCATCTTGTGTGGCTAACATTTCTTTTCCAGACTGACCATTTTTTGCCAGCAGTGCTTGCAAGGAGCCAACCTTTATCACTCACTTCTCTCTTCCCCTCCCCCCATCTTCCCAAACCTCGCACCCCCCATGGTGACTGGTATTATTACTAACCCTGACTATGCTTCATGCTCTTCCATTGACCGGTTGTACCCCCCTTCTATGCAGCTGACGACACTAACTTTGGGGACGTTGGTCCAGCCTCTGAAGCCACTGGTAAATGCCTGCTCCTTCACTCACTCTCTCTCATTCACTCATTCTGCCGATCAGGGCTTCAATGTCTTCTCTAAAATGTACAGCACTTAAACATAGCAAGCACTACTTAGTTCCTTTAAGACAGGAAGTAAGGTTGTCAACATAATGCACAGACATTGCACACTTTTCTTTCTTTCTTTTGCTACTTTGTCTTTGATCCATCTTCAGCAAATATAGCTTCCCCGATTCCTGCTGATTTGTTGTCACTACACAATTTCCCAATTCTTAGTTATATAGTGCGCACACATCACTCAGGGGACCTATAAAAACTTGTCTATGTGGACAGGTGGCCACTTAATCAATGCTTGTGTCAATGGGGAAAATTATCTACACATGTTAGAGACCACCAAAAATTGGCCACTTTGGCTAGGTAGTCCTCATGTAGAGGTGGTCACTTCAGGGGTTTTTCTAAACAGGGGAACAAGGGCGCTGCGCCCTCATGTAACAAACCAGCGCCCTCATATCAATTTTCAGATTGAAGTCTAAGTCTTTTTCAAAATCATCTTTTTCCAGTAAAAATACAAAAACAACACCACAGAACAATAAATTAGATAGCATTACAAACTATGTTACTCTCATAAAAATTCCAAAATCTTATCACAAACTTGAAAATTTAGCTCTAGTAGTAAAAGTTTGAATGGAATAAACAATGTTCATTGAGAACTTGCTCAAAGAAATGTAGCCAGGTCTCCTTCATTTGCATACTATAGAAGGGGCTCTGAAGTGAAACATGAGACCTGAGTTTGTAGCAGCTTAGATGAATGTGTTGCAATTGTGCCATGGGAAATGTTTCAGCTTGTGGCAAACCCAATGTTGTCATCTGGAGCTACTAGTAACATTGATCACTAATTGTGTAAGTGTATAAAGGGTGATTTGCAGATTGTGTGTACTGTTGATTGTACTTATACTTTATAAGGGAAATATGCAATGCATGAATAGAAATTTGGAAAAGGTATTGAGGTTATTAAGAGTTCAAATTTTCCCCCTCAAGTAGCCTCAAAATGTCCCATTTCAACTTCAAATTTTCAAAGGCTTCACATGGCGGAAGGGGGGATACCCCCCTTCCGCACCAACCCCCCCTCGGTCGCTTCGCTCCCTCGCCATGATACTGCTCCCTCATGCCAAATTTTTCTAGAAAAACCCCTGTCACTTGTACAGGGTTGACTGCAGGTCTCGAAATACCAGCTGCAGCCGTATGATTATTATGAACATTTAGTGCAGGTAAAATTGGTGCAGGTATTTCTGATGTGTTACCTGCACCTAACCTGCACAGCTCCATATGATGACTGGGTTACCACAAATGATATATAAAAGAAATGGCAATGGTTTCTGAACAGTTTTTAGTATGACCCATACTTTTTTAGTATGATGTGAATTGATCATTTCCATGAACAAATATTTCACCAACTCACTTTCTTCTACACCTGCTGAAAACATGTCCATATTTCTCAGACCGTGAAAAGTGATTGACAGTATATAAATTTCACTGTGTCACTGAATAATTATGTTAACTTATGCATATACAAAAGACGGTATGTTATAATATTTGTATTGTTCCCTGTCCTCCCAGCAGGAACACCTCCGGGAATCTCCTCAGACATCGAGCAGGCGCGTCCGCAGACCCACGGGGAGGAGGAGCTGCAGCTCCAGCTGGCTCTGGCCATGAGCAAAGAAGAGGCCGACCAGGTCAGTAAAGAGGCAAGTGCACAGTGGTCAAGTCTGGAAGGGTGCACGATGTACATATCAGTGTCACGCCTCGCGCGGTGTGCAGATGGTAGGGGGTTACAGTACCCCTTCTTCCACCCACCACTTTCAAACTTGGAACTGAAAAAAAACTAATTAGAAGATTTGGCTGACAACAAGCCACTTAACTCTTGGTTAAAATGCAGACTGAGGAAGGCCAAGCTTTCCTCCTTGCAGTTTTCAAAATTGAAAAATACAAATGTCTAACACAAATACTGCCTTTAAATTTTTTAAAATGATATACACATGTATAATGGTTGAAGAACTGAAAATACTCCTCGAAGTAGATTGGCTTTGAAGTGGGCTCTGTCCATTGGGAATGTAAAAAAAAACAACTACTGTTTCCTTTGGTGGTTGGAAGGATGTAATAGCCTGCACACACCTATGAGGTTCACATGGACATGTGCATGTCACACCTTGTAAAGCACTCACACAGGTGTTCCCTCAAGGCCAGGACAACGCGACCCGGACTGTAGTTGACTTCAAGAGGGCGCAGACAGCACAGGTTTGCGTGTGCCGCTCCTCTGAAGAATCTGTGTGTGTGAATCTGATGCTAATGTCATTCTGTCTCAGATGGCCCAAGTCAAGTCCCAGCCGGCTGCAGCCTCGGGGCCGCCTGCCCCGGCCACAGCCGCCTCACAACCGCCTGCCGAGGAAGACGACATTCAGCTCCGCTATGTTCTTGCCATGAGCAAAGGGGAAGCAGAGAAGGTTGGTTGGCCCACGTCTCCTTCTCACCTTCTCCTTGTTTCCTTGTTTTTTCCTTTGTTTTTATCTTTTTCTTTAAGAAGCTATGTCCATGGCACTCCAATGTCTTCCATCTTTTGTGACTGTGAATCCTTGCTAGAAGGACTGTGAGAAATTTTTGCTGAAATGGTTAATTTGGAGTTCTTGGAAGTAAGAACTCTGGTATTGAATTGATGTGGTTTTCTCTGTGACTATGTATCAATTACTTGGAAAGGGACATACCAGAAAGGACATCATTGAAAAGTAAGTGAAAAAGAACATAGAAAAAAATGCAGAATGTTTTTTATTCCTGTCACTCTGTCTTACTCTTAGAAAGACAGAAAAAAAGGATGGGCAAAAAGGCAAACTGCAGAAAGCATTGATCTGGAAAACAAATTGCACAACTCTCAATTCTTCCAAAATCCTTCTTGGTTGGTCCCTGGGTAACAGTACTGTATGGGACAGTAAGTATCACTTTACATGTTATTCCTTTGAGTTAATGTATTTGATGATGTTATGATTGTTTAAATGTGATTGTACAGTGTACTTTTTTTATTGAGTTGTTTGATTAAAGAATAATTTTTTTATGCACACATCTTGATAATTAGACTTCTAAGATATTTGATTTCATGTATTCTTTTCGTTGAATGTTACAAATGGTATGTTATAGACACATATGCACATGATTTATTTTGCATTATTCAAATGTTCTGCCTCAATGTCTAACCTTAATCGACACACATACATGTATCAACCATCACCTGTCAAAGATTGTTCATCTCTCCCGCTGCCAGTCAATGTAAGGTCCTGCAACTGGTAAAAACATAGGACTGTCTTAAAGCTTAAGAACGTAGAGGTGACACCTGGAATGCTTGCTATTTTTCCAGGAGGAGCGCATGAGGCGTGGGGATGACGTTAGGCTGCAGATGGCCCTGGAGGAGAGCCAGAAAGAAAACTCCAAGGAAGAGGTGAGAGTGGATGCTACTCAAAATGTCTGACCATTTAAAAAATCTATCCATTTGCTTGACTATACAGTTTTCTTGTGCAGCTTGTAAAGTCAAGTTAGGAAATCTGAAAGCGTGAATTAGGTCACAGCCTGGGATTCAAACCAAGAACCTTCTGAGTCCAAATCTGTACTGTCTCCCTGCAGCTGAACCAGTCTTCCCTGTTGGACCTTGCTGACACGACACCACCAGGACCTGCAGCTGACCCCTGGGGAGCCCCGGCTCCAGCCAACAACTCTGCCCCTCAGCCAATCCGACAGGCAGACCCGTGGGGTGGCGGCGGTGCCACCATTTCCGCTCCCGCCTCCGCTACCAACATGTCCTCCCTGGCACAAGCCGACCCCTGGGGTTCCAGCTCACCCCCAGCCCAGCCCAAGTCAGCCCCACCCCCCATCCAGCAGGCAGACCCCTGGGGCGGGGGCTCGACGAGCCAGCCCTCGTCTCAGTCCCAGTCCCCCTGGGGGTCTCCCGCCATCAGCAGCAGTGCTCCCGTCAGTAGCACCTCCTTCGATGCATTCGGAAACAGCAGCCAACCTGCAGCCAACGACTTGGACGGCTTCGACCTGCTCGGCTCACGGTCCACGGGGGGCAGCGGGGACCTCCTCGGGGGAGGGGGTGTTTCCTTGCAGAACAACAGCGGCGGTGTTGGTGCGTTCAACATGATGGGGCTGGACCAGGGCCTGCCCATGCAGCAGGGCTCCAAGAAGACGCCCGAGACTTTCCTCGGGGAGAACTCCTCCCTGGTGAACCTGGACAACCTCATCAGCGCGCCCGCAGCCCCGCCGCCCCAGCTCCCGCCCCCGGTTCAACCTGCAGGCACCAACCCGTTCCTCGGGATCGCTCCGCCGCCCCAGCCAGTCGCCCAACCGGCCCCCGCCAAGCCCGTCAGCAACCCATTCCAGGCCCAGATGGTCAGACCGCCTACTATAAACCAAATGCGTTCGCCGCCCGGACCCCCCGCACAGCCGGGACTGGTGGGGCTGGGCGGCACGGACGGCCTCCCACAACCTCTCCTCCCCATGGGCAACACAGCACAGCCTGCTCAGCCTACCAACCCCTTCTTATGAAATTGTGACAACGCTAGAGCTAGCTGTAACTGTGCATGGTTCAAAAAGAGGTACAAATTAATAATTCCGCTCAGCCAAAATGCTCGCACAGATGCGAGGGTCTTAAACATGTGTCGATTGGGGAGGGGGGGAGTTCAAACGCCAGCAAACTGTGACTGCAAAAACGTCCCCATCATTTTCACGTGATCAACTTCATCCGGTAGGGTAAGATGTCGGCAATTGTACACTAAAGATTTGTAGAAGTGTGAATCGTAGACAGGTACGATACAGACCAGTGTTTCTAGGAGAAAATTGCAGAGGTCTGTCAGCTAGAAATGAATTAAGCATAAAATGTAGACAAACCCTTGATATGCTGACACCTCAGCACATGCGCCGTGTGTATGTATATATATCGTACAGTTTTGGTCTGGGATGATAACATGAGAGCTATGGTTCTTGTACTGAAAGTGTGTGCTTGGCTTTCGACTCTCATACTGAGATGTTACCGTAGCAGTCCACTCCATTTTTGTAAGAAAAGACGCAAGGAAAAAAAAATGACTACAAATATCATCACAGGTAGTGTGTTTCAACTACATGTATTTCAACACTTTTGGACGAAGTACTTTTAGCCTGGACTTGGACAACGTGACTATGATAATTTCAGTAAGGAGGTTGCCATGCAGATGTGTGGGGAAAATGCAACGAATGCTTCTTTGCTGTATGCATGTCTGCAGCTAACTGGATATTTATATGCAGGGCACGAAATACTTTTACCTGCATACCTGCTTTGGTTCAGGTGACATTCAAAATTACCTGCACCAGTGAAATTTTGAATTTCGGTCCCTTTCAGTCCTTGAAAAATATTTGTAGGTGGGCCCGGTGCCATCTTAAATTTTAATCTGTTGTATAACAGGATACTACTTTGGATTGATGCAGGTTAGAAGCAGGTAGACAACAGAAATCTTATCTGCAGTAACCTGCACGTGCAGGTGGTATTTGGAGCCCTGCTGTGGTAGTAAATTGACAATCAGGCAGTGCTAAGTTTGCATAATGCCAGGTGCTTTTAATTTCCAGTCTTCTTCACCACTCCTTGCAGACATGGGCCCTCATTAAAAGAGCTTTGCTCAGCAATGATCTTTTTCCATCTGACATCTGCAAAAACTCAAAATCTTTTCCACATTGAGGATGCCAATTTTCTATCTAAAATGAGGGATGGACAGACTTGTTGGTCGTACACAAGTTTGAAAAATGAAAGACATTAGGCAGCAGTTAATCCTGAGTTAAAATTGGTATCTTCTGCCTTTTCTGTTGTTTTCCCACCACAGCATCATTTTCTTTTATCAACGCTCAAAATAGAAAGCTTCATGGATGTAGTAGTTTGGGAATAGTGCCACAAGCACCACGTGTTCAACTGCTTTCTTTCTACTCATTTTAAACTAAATTAACAGACTTACCATGTTATATAAAACCCTGAATATATGTATTTAGCAGTCTGTGCATATATCATAACTTTGCCATGGCATTGTCAGAAAATGTTTTTCATTTCTCAAAGCTAAATGAACTACATGTCCTCTCAACCCAATGGCCTTTGTTGTATTTTTGTACACAAAACCTAGCCAGCATTTGTGTCCGCAGTTCAACCTAATGCAACTCAAGGCAAAATTCCTTATCATGTCAAATCACTACATCATTTCTTGTCAGGAAGTTTGACTCGGAAGTTTGTTCGCTATCCAAGACGATGTTTTATTACAATACTTGCTACATTATGTCTTTCAGAAAGTCCAGAGGGTAAAGAAAAAGGGTTGTACTTTTACACCGTGTGTGTGTGGTCTTACCCACATAATTACTCTGTGGAAACTAATATTCTAGTTTCAGACTTTGGTATTCAAATGTTTTCATTGTGGTTTCGTGAACATGAAATTTCCAGTGTTTGCAAATTGTCGACTCTAACATTATGATATTGGTTTGTATTGTATGACTAGATATTGTTAACTTTAACGTTATATTGATTCTTCATGTAGTCATAACGACTAAAATGCAGCTATGGGGTTTTTAAAATCATATTTAAGACAGACAACTGAAGGTAGAGTAGCACACTAGAATATTGTATGATGATTTTCAACGCTTATTTTGAACTTCATTTCTGCTATGTATGACCAGAATAAGACTGACGATCTACTATTGTATATTATTATAATTATTATAGTACTGAAAACTATATTTTGGTAGAAGTAAAAAGATTACTGCCTCTTTCACTTACTAAAATCTGATGTTGAATATGTCAAAAGTGAATGTAAAATTTGTCATTTGTACACGAGTACTATAGATTTGCTGTGCTTTTGGCTCCTTTTTGTAACTGGCAGAGGGTCACTTTAAACCACACAGATTTGATTTATGATGGCATCCTCTGTTGCAACAAATTCAATATGTTTTGCAATAAGCCATTTTCAAACTGCTCATTTTTGAAATTTCATAACATACATGTTTTTTTTTACAAAGGGCTTTTCGATTCTGGTACATTGTTGCAAAATGCAAGCATTGTTGTGTATGATGTTACCTAATTGTTATGGAGGTTGAAATAAACAGAAAAGCACCATGATGATGTTATCAATAAATTCACTTTGTGTGGACTACGTGACTTTATCATCGCAACTTGTGTTTTATTTTATTTTGGCAATGTCAATTGTGTGAAGCCTGTTGTTTAGTGGTGTCTGCGCTATTTGTGGACAAGGCTTTTTCTGCATCTTAGATATTTCCTTGGAGGCAAATTCTCACCACGCCTGTATCTGGGTGTTTTCAGCTTTGTCCACCGCCACTTCCCAATAGGTAATATATTGTATATGTGCACATTGGCACATTTCAAGCCACAAGTCGTCCATGCGTAAATAATAATGTGCTGCATCTTGAAATCAAGGAATGGCCACGCGTTTTGCAACACGTATACAACAACAGCTCACATGTAGGTTGTAGTCCGTGGATTTGTGTGATACAACTTTTCTGTCAGGGGGAAACAGACGCCAGTGGACTCCAACCGTCAGATTTTTCAAATAAAGTGACTAGATCTCGTACCAGCTGTGGAGTTTTTGTTCACCCAACCCCTATAGGAGGTGCACAGTCCAGCAATAGATCAGGATAAATGCAGAAACCGCATCTTTCCGGTTTCTTACCGGGTGTACTAGTAACCATGCGCATTTTCTGTGTGCCAAGTTATGTTGAAGCTCGTGCGGTTTACATGTCTGCCACAAGAGGTCGCTCGTGAGCTGTACAAATGCAAACAGTCAAGGTGATGATCAAAATAGAAAGTTTAGAATCGTATTTAACAAATCAAACAAAAAAAAGATGAAATCTGCAAGAACAAAATGCTCGGAGTTGGTCTCATGGGAAAAAGCTAAGCTAATCGAATTCTTCGGAAGTCACTAATGCAACATAAATGATAATGTAGTCATATAATAGATGAAACATGGAAACGCCTATCCGTAAACTTTTAACGTTCTCCCCACGTGTACCAACGGCGATGTCAGTATCGATCAAATGATCGATCGATTTTCCAATCAATGATCAGATCGATCGATCTACCTACAAATCAATCAATGAGTCCACTGCTGTATTGATCAAACACTGATAGACCTATATAGGCCGGTGATGTTGGACGTGTCCCAGGATCAAGGAGAAGGAGAAGACCGCCGGCAGACGCGGATACACCTCAGCGCCATCCGGGTGTTCCCAACGCCTTCCCACCCGGCTGCTCGCAGCGTTCTCATTATCCCAGACATCAGAGCGGGGAGAAGGCGGCAGTCAGACCCGTGGAGCGGCTGCAGCGGGGTGCCACGCGTGTTGGACGGGAACTAGGAGGATCAAAACCGTGTAACACTGCACTTCTTACTTGCTGGGACATCGCTGGTCTTTGGATGGACTAATCGAGAGTTAATGCGTAAGTATAAACCGAGCAGGAGCCGGGCCCGTTGTGTGTGCGGAGTACTTAACGTACGTGTGTAGTAGTAGCAAATAGACTCGACACCTGTCATTATTTAAAGCGTTACAGTTACGGAACTTCTTATGTCAGAACGTTGTTGATTCTTGGACGGACTAGTCTGGACTGTATCTGTATTAGCCGTGCACGGTATTGCGTACAGCATCTTCCATTTCAAGACATTGCCAATCATCGATCTTACCAGTCCTGCGTTACCGGCTGAGGCGGACACTTTAACAGTCGTGCCGAGAGGACGTTTGAACGGCGTTAACTGAAGACGAAACGTAAGTACATGTAATTGCTTTATTGAGGTCATATGCTATTCTATGAAACCTCTAGTTTCACCACGGTTAATCAGTGTACCGATTCAGGGTATAGTCACTGTGAGAGATGTCGTACAGTGTAACGTGCGCGTTAGTAGCCGCATGGCGTGTCTGAGTAAGCGTTATTTCTCAAGCTGTACGTTACTTATAGAACCTCTAATCTCATTAAGGCGTTAACACCAGCGTGGTACAGATGGTGTTTCAAGCAGCTGTTAGATGCTGAAGTGAAGGAGGAACAAGGCTGTTGTGTTAGGCGCAAAAAGCCTTTGATGACAGCACGTCAGTTGGGCACGTTTTTAGCACGTCGTAAAATCTGTGACTACATCTCAGTCAGTATACATCATAAAAGGCGGCTGTAGTAATGAGGCGTGTGTTGTAGAGAGACAAGAAAACTGCTTGTGCGCTCGTATTTAATCGTTTATTCAATTTTCAAGTTCAACATCCGTACAGTACTAGTGTTACCACAAAGATACTGAACGGCTGGGGGCTGCAGCATTGGTAAGATTCGCCTCAAAACATTATCTTTCAGCTTCAAGTATCTGACAAATCGGGCTTAGGTTGCTCAGTTAGAATTATAGTAACCTGTCCATGCTAAAAGACTCTGCCCCCCCCCCTCCTTCCAATTGAACCAACTCTAGCGTCGTGAAGGAAATGTACCTGGAAATG